AATTCTCTGAGAAATTACTACAGAAATTGATTCAACGATAGACAAATTGAATTATAAATCAAGTTTCCATAGAAAAATTTCAAAAAGTCAGTTTCACTGTTCGGTAGTTCTAGTGTTAATAGATGTAATTGTAATGAAGTTTAATTAAAACATTGTAAGTGAGGAACCATAGCCGAACATTGTATTCGGTCTGCGCAATTGACACCTGAACGAAAAGTAGAAAATCGGCTCCGCGCTCAAGGTGTTAATTATTTCTACTGTATTTTCAAGGATAGTTTAACTTTGTAATGGATCTAAAGTTTCGGGATTCGAAGGCAGCGAAAGACAGTTTCAAACTAACAGAAGCTTGAAAGATTTTAACAAAAGACGATCTGGTAAATTAGAAAGAGAGAACAGTGGAAACAATTGTTTCTCTACAACTAGCATCAATATGTATTCCTAACAAATATTAGAATGATAAAATACCATCCATAATACCAGAGGCAGGTAAAGTGTCAACCCATGCAACTTTGAAGTCATCAGTATATTGGCATCTCGTTGATTTATTTCGCGTTGCACTCAAAGCGGTGAATAAAATTAAATAATCCGTTAACTGAAACTTCTATACACTGAAACGTGAAAGTTCAACGTAACTTGAAAGGTGACCCTCTGAACTCTGTAGGCTCCAATATTGCACCAGTTATAATATTAAATCCTTTAATGAATCTTAAAGGTACTACCCTAAAATTATTCGATTTCCCACACATCAAAATTTTGTGCTGAGAAGGAAAACAGATCGAAGAAATGTTATAGCATTTCTCATTTTCGCTAGGAATACTATAAAAATTAGTTGCCGATAGATTACAAAACAACCTGGAGTACCATGGGTTAATTGTTAACGCCACCAGCGGATTTTTCGCCGGGATCCGTGGACCGGAGCTAATTCCGATTCTCTTACCGGCCGCGCTAAAATTACCCCCTTCATGTTCGTTCGGGCATCAACGAGAAAAACGAGTAATCCGAGAAGCGACGGGTACAACAATGCATCCGGGGCATCAATCACGCGTGTCATTAATGGTCGCGGTTGCGGTTAGGAGGAATCGAGAACTATAATTCACCTGGGGCCCCCGGTGCTGGCCGCGATGTTGCATTACTCGCGGGACGATTTACGGTGTCTATTGTCGCGGGACAAAAAGGCGATCCGTTTTCTGCCCGGCCGCTCTTCCCTGCGTCCGCGTCCCGTAATTTCGTAATATATCGTCGAAAAACAACCGCCTCCTTCCGCCTCGCGGCGCGCCGCGTCTCCTGGAGACCCCTCGAAAATCTCCGGCCTCGGGACGTAAACACGAAGTTTTCCGTACGCGTGTGCAACGGAACGTCGACGCGAATTATGCAACGCAAACAAATATCCGGATTAATCGATAATCTAATGGCCGTTGTCGGCCGCGGGGTTGTTTACTGTCTCCGAGCCGGTTCGTCCGCTCTATTTGCGCTCCTTCGGCGGAAACGTTTCGGGACTGTATGCTTAAGCGTCGTTTGTAATTAGGAAATAAATCGGCGACGCGTCGGGGACGAGATTGCCGGCTAATCGTCGCCTAGGTCTCGCAATTATTTTTCAATTAGCGCGCGATTCGGATACGAATTAGTCACGCCGAGCGATTCTGAGAATCGATGGGAAGCTGAAAGAAGCGCGGAATAATGGCGAAGAGGAATGAACATTATTAACTGGGACTGTCGGGCGGTTGGAAACAGCATAGACGAAGTGTACATTAGCGGAATATAAATCTAAAGTATAAATCAAGTCGGAATCGGAATACGTCTGCGAGTTGTACGAGGAAACGTAGATCGATCAATTCGACTAGTTGTACCATTAATACAGTTCAAACTTTCGAATTCTTTCGTAGAAGATATTAAATTGATCAGAGGCTAGATTATTAATGTCAAGTGAATCGAATAATTCTGTTCTTTGCATCCCAATCCCCCAGGATGCAACGGATTTTTCCCCGATTTCGTTAAACGCCGTTCGGAATTAAAAGGCGTTCCTCTTCATCCCTCCAACCCCCGACCCGTGGCTCATATCCGAAGTATGTCAAGAATTTAGCCGTGGGCCGTTTTCACTAATAGCTTACGATAATTGGTTCGCCGCGTTCGTTGCGGTTACGCCACGAAACGAACCGTGTCAAAAGCGGCCTGTTACTTGAATTATAAGATTTTTTGCTGCGTCCTCCTCCGGCTGCCGGGCGATGAGGTCATGATCAAGTGGAGAACGGCTGAAAAGTTGCGAGGCGAACCGAGCCGCGTCTACACGGTATCTACGAAATTCTGCCTCTAGTTCCTTAAATAATTCACGCTCCCATTCCCGCGAAACGACGATACTTCGCGTTTATTACGCTGCGCTGTCGTCTTCATTATGCCGCCGCGGCGCGAGGTGGTTCCCTCCTCACGGCTCCATCCTTGAAATACAGCGCGACTTAAACGGCATTCGATTGTTCGTCGCTTTCACGCGAAAACGGCGGATACTTCATTCATAAGCGATGCATTATTCCGCCAAAAATGAACAGCCGCGTGGAAAGGAGTTGGTATCCGCCACGGAGGTAACCGCGGTTTAGCGTCGTTATCCAACTTTTGCCATTTCTATGAAGGAAAAGGTCAGAACGATGCTCGCGCGGTAATTATATTGGCATTTTGTCGAGAAAAATCGGGAATTGCTTATTGCGACAGCTAACATTTCAGGAAGGAGAAACGAAGAAATTACTCTTCGACGATTTTCCGACTTCTAAGATGTTTATTGCGCTGCTTGGCGACTGATGGAATATCAGGAAAATATTATTGTTTCGTTATTGTATTGTAATATGTTATAGGCTCTTGCAGCTTTTTTATTATAGGAAAGTGAATATTATCGTTTCACTATTGTGCGTTAGGTGTTTCAATCTGACGGAGCAGAAATGAATGAAAATCAATATTTTTCCTACTTTCATCAGAGACGTATTCAACACGATCTCTGGTGTCGTTGGGAGGCAATACGATCTGGAGAAAAAGATCCCCAGCTTAGAAAGCTGCTGCGGCCTGCGGAGCGTGGTTCTCGTTACTCGATACACCGGCTCGTATCATTCGTCATTGCACAATCGTCGAACCGATCATTTATGCTTCGACCAAAAACCATAGGTAAACCGAACGAACAATTGTCTGCCGGGAGAACGGGAATGGACACCGGCGGCAACAATAATCGCCGTTCACTTAGTCACGTGGCCGTAATTTCATGAGCCAATTTCGCTTTGTGCGGAAATCCTCTATTTGTCTCAAACAGAATGCCATTATTAAACACTCAAACCTCTAAATTCAACGATATCTCGCTAAATCATTTCTCCTCGTAGATCGATCAACAAAAACTCGAAAAAACGCTGAATTTCTTGCGATATTTTTCATACGCAACCGGCGCCATATTGGTTTACGTTTTCCAGCGCATTAAACTGTTACTTGTTCGATAACACAATAAAGAATATTTTACTTGTCTCTTTTCCTTTCTTCTCTTTTCTACATTATAGGAATAAAAGTTATCTCTATAATAAATACAAATATTATTTTGATCTCTGTATGCTCCAATATTGCACCAGTTATAATGCTAAATATTTTAAGGAATCTTAGAAAACCTACTCTGAGATCATTAGATTTTCTGTGCATCCAAATTTTGTACTAAGAAAAAGAAAGATCTGAGAAATGTTACATTTTTCATTTTCGCTATTATAGATATTTCCGATACTATTAGTTGCAGATTACAAAACCATCTGGAGCGCTAAGGTTTAATGACAAATAATAATAAGCAACAATTTGATAGAAACTGTCGATAGTTTCTAACCTAAAAAAAAGAGAAGCACGGTGATCTCCGCGGACGCTCCAGACCGATCAACGAAACACAAGGATCCGATTACCGTCGGGAATAACAGGTCTCTATGGAAAGCTTATGTCAGCGTTTAACGGGCGGAATTAGACTGGATTAATAAGAACATCGCTGACGGGAATGCCGAAATGGGTCGAGGCGAAGGCACGGCCGGTTCTGATTAACCCCGGATGAGGTGTTCCGGACGGAAGACAAAATTATTCAACGGGACCGGACTTAATCAAAGTTTGTCGCGCGCCGGACACGGTGGAAATGCAACCGTGGCCCATCAAACGCGGATTTAGCGCGGCGGGGCAGCGATCAACGGGGATAAAAATGCAGTTCGCAACCGTTGTCCGGAATTGATTGGGCAGTCGCGAGAATTATACCTGGAATTGGTTCACACCGGAGGAAAACGAGAAAAGGATCAATTTCAGTTGTTTACGTAGAACGGAACCGATAAAATTATATTCTTATTGGACGTACGTATTAATTTCTTGCTCTCTCTTGAAATAACTATTACCCTTAGGCAACGGTTAACTACGAGTTGTCAGAAGCAAAGGTTACAACAGTATATTAGCTGGTGAACCGCTGAATTTCACTTGCGACACCCAGTATTTCGAAACAATCGAATTCTGCGTTCGCTGTCTACTCTAAATCTGCACTCAAAAACTCCACCTTCGTCTCGAAGAGAAACAATAGTCCATTCGCCAAACCCAATTTCAAAATTTCAAGAGTCTCGCTCGAAGATAAATCCAAAATTCTAACGAAACCTGAAACATAATTCGAAACCGAGAACTCAAGCTGAAACTCAT